ACTTTAGCATGGATTTTACCCCAAATAATTATATTTCAGTTCGGTACATGTGTGAAAATTATTTGTAAAAGTGATTACCAAATAATTGTAGTATTTTCCGACTTCTCACAAATGTATAAAGCGGGCGTAGTCACATAGGATTGATTAATTATAAATGAACATATTAAATTTTGGAAGTGGAATACTAATATGAATTATCTCAATATGAAAAAAGAAAAAGTTATACTGAAAACAAAAAAGAGATATAAGGGTGATAAAAAAATAATTGTAAAAGTAGGATTCAAAAAACCTATGTCATTACTACTATATAAACAAACAATGCCCTACAATCATGTAAAGCATATAAATAAATAAAATTGTTGTTGGGAGGCAGAACATGAACAAACTAAGTCTGTTGCCCACTATTCATATACCCTAGCATATAACTATTCGAATGAATAAGTATCTAAATACGTTGTGGACGGTGCTACATTCCATATGGCAGTGTTAGTAATCTAGAGATGGGAACAGTTTCAGCAACACCAATTCACAATACTGCCCAATCTAGTTCCATGGGCCAACTTTCAGGTACAACTCGTACTGATTTCCTTGAAGATGGTTTAGAATGGTGTTGAAGTCAACATGTAAAAAATGATATTCTAGAATCACAGGTGCAACAATTCGTCTAAGGTACTGGGAGCTAAATATGACCTCATATTTTGCATACTCATCCACAAGGGTTAGGTGGATGATAGTTGAATTGGTAGTTGCACACCATGAAGTTTTGAGCTCTATAACCCGTGCAAGAACGTGGAACACTTCTTCCTAAGGTGTAAAACAGAAAAATCATTGTTAAAAGCATAAGCAATTTAGCTCATGAACACCAGAGCAATTTTGGAAAGAAGTTAAGTTCGATTTGAGGAGGATAGATGAGTACCATGTTAGTCCTGCCACTTTGAAAGTCAATAAGGTTTACGGAAATACAAAGGGGACTGACTGCAACAGCTTCCGCATATGTCAAGTGACTGATGAAGTAGTTTTGGTTGACATCTCTAGCAAATAAATCGAAGCACACAATGCTAAGGTGGAATAAAATCCATTTATAATGTGACATAAGGTTATTGGTGGTCCACTGAACTAACCGCTTTAGGAGTCGATGAATATGTGGCGCATGAAGACCAACAAAAATCTTTGTAGCTCGGGAGGCAGTAAAGATATACTCGTCTTCCAAACAGTAAACCAAATATGTAATGTTAACAAATACTCATATGCAGATATATGTTTACACTAAAAGAACACCAAGACAGTATTAGGCAAGTTCAAATATATAATAATTGACGCAACCTGCTGAAACTAAAGTCTAAATAAAAAATGCATTCGGGCGCATTTATGGAAATTTGACTAATATTTTTTCTTTAAAATGAATCATCTACAAATTGGCCAAAAAAATTTATGATTCTAAATGTTTCTACTGTGTTGAACAAAGAGTACTTCTTTTGAAGTAAGCAAGAAAATGGATTTACCTTCATCATGTTCTAGATATAGTGATGTTAATGCCACCACTTGGCCAAACACTCCTACTTCGGGAAGCAAGTTCTCAAAAAAAGCAATCATGGTATCCTAGAAGACAACGCTAACAAAAGCTCCCCTGTTAGATATAAGAAAGTATTATTTTCGTTCTGAATAGAATAGGTAGGCTCAAAATGATTCATAGGTTACAAAAATACATAGTCTATCAGCTAGAGGCGAATTCGTTTTCTTTGTAGTGGTGGTCCTGGAACGATAACATCGGTCTGGTTGCACATAACTATTCTACCAAGCAAATCTAAATATAACACAACCCATCAGCACCTAAACTATTGATTAGTAAAAAACTAATGGTATTCCGAATATTAGAAGGATAGTTACCAGGAAGAACTTGAGTCGCCAAAGCGAATGGAAAGTCCTCATACGCCAGAAAATTATAACTCAACGTGGGGATGTCATCAATGTCTTCCCTTTTATGAACAACTGTATTGGCTCTAAAACCAAAGCGTAGGTGTCCAAGAGAAACACGATGGCTGCTGATATTCTCTCCAACAACAAAGTGTGACATAATGTAAATATAATCTTCACGAAAGTACCCGAGGAATTGGTGTACATGTTCCCCATGAATAATTCCCTCAATTTGAACACCCTAAGAAAGCAAAGTATGAAATGAATGAATGTAAACAAAAGTAGAAATAAACCTGAAGAGAAGAAAAGCAATACTTACGTCTTTGTCAATGAAAAGCAAATTAAGATGTTCAAAGGTGTTTCCCAAAGGCGACAGCTTCCCCCACATCCGCAGTAGTCGTACCCAAACTGAACAAAGAGGTCATGGATTTGAAGTTTGGCGACATGAACAACAGGCGCTGCGTTCATGTTTAGGTGATTTGAGTGTGTGTAATGGCGACAAATGGTATGGCAAAGGAGATTCTGTGGAGTAAAAAATGTTGATGACAGTGAGAGGGAAATTGGAATGGTGTTCGTGTGGTATGCTGAACTTTGGAACGTGGGTAATTGGCAGAGAATCAATAATGCGACAGTTCCACTGTTTTTTATATGACGACGATTCCACTTTGAATATTAGCTAATGAGACTGATGACACGACATCTGGTTTGCGTGAACCAGTCAATAAAGCTGCTATAGTCCAATTAGCCGAACGGATCAGGAACATATATTAAAATAGGCTTCTCTTACTAGGCCCATTAGGCCACTTGTGTTATCGGCCCATCAAAATTTATTAGATTAGCCCATTGTAATACCTCACCAACCGGCCATTTATTGCAAACTGGAAAAGAGTCCAACCAAACGAAGAAGACGAATCGTCTCACTTTTTCGTTTCCACGCAGGCGATCTTTTCCCTTCGACGAAGAAGTTCAGTGGCATTCGCGTCTGTTGCATGCACCCATCTGTCGTTCGGTCAAGTAATATGGAGGCCGTGGTTCAGTTATCAAACGCCGATTTGCTGGAAATATCTGAGGGGTAGTGCGGACAGCAGCTCCAACACCGAAAAACGCAAACAAAGATTTCCAATCCGCAGCTCCCGTCGACCAATACCCACCGCTACAGGTTGTTTCCTTGAATTGCTTCAACTATGTGGACTGTGTATTAGAATAAGTATAAACTCCTAAATTAATGATTCCAACCTATTATCCCCTTCTACGCAGGGTACCATTACGATCCGAGAAAGAACTCCACCGGCCTTTGCATATCTTGCATGTATCAATCTGACATCCTCCACAGGTACTTGCAAAAACAGAAATTGAGTAGGTAATCAGTGGTGTAATTTATGAACAATGGATGACGTACCACCATGGAACCCGTAAGTATTGTTTGACCAACAAACCCTTAACACAACAGTCTATTATGCTTAATTTTCCTAGTTATTTCCATTCCTGACTGTTAAATTTATAGGCATTTTATCGTTGCTCCTGCTTTCATTGCAAATATGAGCTATGAAGAAGTCGTAGCCATGTCTCATGTTGTTGATACCGTGCATCTTATACCATTGCAATTGGATGGTGACAATGAGGTCATTCAAATAAGCTTTTTGTTATGCATCATTCTCCATTAGTTATATCGTTGTACTATTTCTTATTTTTTGTTTTTTCCCAAATATGTTGACTTTTAATTAAATAACAGTGTTACATCTTATCCGCACGTGTCACAGAGTTGTGGTAAGCCTGGTGTGCTCCATCTAGAGTACATTTGATTCACTTAACTATTGAGGATCAATTCACTGATGTTGAGGTGGTATTCTCATCGTCATACTTACGAAAGATAATTGCATCTATAGTAAGTCGCAATGATGCTAACAATGCCAACTTTGATACACTGCTCAACTTGCTTGGTGCTAACTTTTATGAGGTCATGGTCACAGTTGGTCCCTGGAACAACATGTTGAATTATTTTGAACTGTTCTTGGTAAAATTGTTCTTGCCTTTGGGCAACTGATTACCATCTGCGCAATGTCAATGTAATCTATTAATGTTTCTAAGTTGTCCACCTCTATATCGTTTCTCCTATCCTTTAAGAATACTGGACTTGTAAACGCTAGACTCTTTTGTAAGTAGTTTATCCTTTTAGGGGTGTTTCATATAAAATTGTATGAATGTCTTGTTGTTGATAGTTTATTTTGTTGTTCTATGGATGCAATGATAATAGTCCATGAACATCGCTATGTATAAAAATCAGATTGATGGATAGCATGGAGATTGTATGTGAAGAGGTGGTATGCCATGAGCGTAGAAGTCTTTCTCTGACTCTCCAATAAGGGGTTGCCCACTCTCAGTTTGGAACGTGATTGAAATGTAATTTCATAAGTTGGGAATTGGTGATTTAAAGTTGAACACATTTTGTGTTCAATTTGTTTCATTGCCCGGTGACAAATGGAAGAAGATTTTGATTTGTAAAAAGCATGCATGAGTAATTGTGGAATTTTGAATGGGTTAGTGATATTAGTAATATATTTAAATTGAGGTCAACAAATGAGGGAGTAATTATCCCACTTGATCCTGAAGACAAAACAAAAAGCGTAGAAATCTGTTACATACGTAGCTCTTATGTGATTTTTGGTATTATTGGTATAAAAAATATATAGACGGCTAAATAATAAGAAAATGATAAATGTCCCAAATAGGGGAAGACCATTACAAAGGCTAAATTGCGAATTTGTTCACTTGAATTACTAGTAAATTTCACATTAGCCACTAGAATGACTTTATTCCATCGGTAGTCACTTAAATTAGGTTAACAATTCAAGTTTGGTCACTGGCCGTTAGTCTCCGTTAACTTTTGCTGATGTGGCGGTCAACTCTAATAGTTGACCGTTAAATGAGTGACGTGGCAATTAAAAAATTAATAAGAAATAAAATTTAAACTTTTCTAATTTCCAACTCATTTTTACACCACCCATTGACAAAAAAAAACTTTTTTTGCCCTTCCCTTTCATTCCTCTGCTCATGGACGAACCCATCCATTTTCCCGGCCAGCTCCTTCACCATCTTCTCGAACTTCCACCAATCCGGCCACCTGAGAAACGACACGAAATCAACCGCGTTGGTGGCCCCACCAAGCTCCTCGTCTCCTTCATTATATTCGTGAAGTCCCTCGCCACCTCAACATCACTGTCAACAGCGATGCACTTCCAATCACATTTGTGAACTGGAACCGACCCATCACGACCCAGAATGTTGACAATGAGAAACCTCTGTATCGGCGTGAACAGCTCCCACGCCAGGGCCTCCTCCTTCCCCAAAAAAACCAATTGATTTCGACGAGCTGGCTTCCTCCGCATTCACCATCCTTCCCTGGAGCGACAGCCACGCCATGGTCCCACACGAGGCGACGGGGGCGAAGTTTTCTCGACACACGAGGAAGAACAAGGCTAGTCGGACAAAACTCACGACTGGTTGAGAACGGCGGTTGGCGTCGAGTTCCCCGCAATCCCCTTCTCCATCAATGGCTCTCCCTCTCAAAATTCAAACCCCACTGTCCCAAAATTTGAATCTTTTACACACAAAACAACAAACCCACAATGCTCACAAGGAAAACGCTTCGCCATTGCCCAGTGAAGTGAAATAACATAGCTCAGTCAGTCAAAAGAGAGAATCAAGATCGAACCTTTCAAATAATGGAAACGAATTCAATGCTCCTTTCCATAACCAGCAGCCAAGAAAATCTTCAATAGAAATCGAATCTCCAACCCCATTTTCCTTCTTCTCTCCGTCGATTTCCTTATAATGGAAGAAGAAGGGTCCACCGATTTCTCTGGCGGGCCTCCACTGTTTTCCCTCTCCTCTTTTACTCTGGCGCCGTCACATGCTTCCCTCCACCACCGCCGCCGCTTCTCATACAACTTTGCCCCCGTCGCCTCGTGAGGGACATTGGCGTGGCTGTCGCTCCAGGGAAGGATGGTGAACCCGGAGGAAGCCAACTCGTCGAAATCAATTGGTTTTATGGGGAAGGAGGAGGCCCTGACGTGGGAGTGTTCACGCCGATGCAGAGGTTTCTCATCGTCGCCGCAACTGGTGAAATGGAAGCAAGCTGGTGAAATGAGCAGAGGAAAGGAAAGGAAGGGCAAAAAAAGTTTTTTTTTGTCAATGGGTGGTGTAAAATGAGTTGAAAATTAGAAAAGTTTAAATTTTATTTTTTATTAATTTTTTAATTGCCACTTCACTTATTTAACAGTCAACTATTAGAGTTGACCACCACATCAGCAAAAGTTAACGGAGACTAACGGCCAGTGACCAAACTTGAACTGTTAACCTAATTTAAGTGACTACCGATGGAATAAAGTAATTCTAGTGGCTAATGTGAAATTTACTAGTAATTCAAGTGACCAAATTCGCAATTTAGCCCCATTACAAATAATGTGGCCCAGATAACCAATCTGATACGAATACAGTTTCATTGGGTATTGGAACAGGTGTGTAAGTTGAAGAGCAAGGGAAGTGAACAAAACCAGTTCTCATGCTGTTTGTAAGTATGAAAGATACGGAATCAGCAAAAGTAACAATCTAAGTTAAAGATGAAAGATGAACCCAATAAAATCGAGAGGGCATAACTTATTACACATACCATTGAAACCATGACAAAGACAGCTGCTGTAACAACTATACATATGGTCTGGAAAAGGCAATAAACAATGCATTTGCAAAAATGAAAATAGAATAACGTATCAATATTTACATAGAAATCCATTTCAAACCTGGTAGGACAACTGTCTTGCACAATCATACTAACACTTAAATAAAAACCAGTAGAAAGAGTCTAATTATTTGTTGAACAGTCATAAGTAAAACCCTAATAAGATGTAGAAGAGGCCACCATCCTTTACCAAAGCTAAAAGACCTATACAGTAAACAACTTAAGCAACATCAAATCACAGCGATTCGCTGTTTCGTTCCACTCCCCAACTTCGACAATGAAATGATAGGGGTTGCCATGTATGAGCTGAGGATGGCCCTGAAGTTGACATCCCAATCAAGATTATCTGCAGTGAAGACATCTCCAGCAATTTGTCTCAGCTAAGCAGTGGGGAACATGACTTCCAATGTTGCGCTAGGATCAGGAAAAAATCCCAAAGTACACTAGTTCTTAAAAAAATTCCAAAAATACATAAGTTATAAAAAAAAATTCCAAAACTACACATGTTTGGCATTCATCGTTTTTGACAAACGCAGTGAAGGCTATCACCGCGTTTGTCAAAAATGGTGAATATTTCACCGTTTTAAATTAAAACGGTGAAGTATTCACCACTTTAAATTAAAACGGTGAAGTATTCACCGTCTTTCTTCAAAACGGTGAATACTTCCCCGCTGTAGTAGGCCACGATCAAGCGACGCGGATCGCTGACGTGGACAAACGCGGGGTATTCACCGCGTTAGACAAACGCGGTGAATACCCCGTGTTTGTTTGCGTCAGCGATCCGCGTCGCATTTCCTTTCACCGTGGCCGTCAGATGCGGTGAGGCGCGGATCGTGGTTTTCTTCCCAGATCCGACGCCTCACAGCTGGTCCACGTCGCCCCCATCACCGCCTTTGACTTCCGCGGTGTATTCACCGCGTTCCACAAACACGGTGAAGTATCCCAAAAATTCAATTCGCCAGATCCCTTTCCCCCTTCCAAACACTATAAATAGACCCCCACCCCCCCCCCCCCCCCAGTTACAAATTACACCTCAACTTATTCTTCTTTCTCCCTCAATTTATCCGCTCTAGTCTCGTTCTAAGTATGCTCTGTGGTTGCGGATAAATCCAATCTTCCACATCAGAAAGAATTACTAGAGTTTGACCCTAAAGCCCCCGTCCCGCTAAGGTCCCGTCCCTTACAAACCTGAACCCATCGAACCTCTGTCCGGCTTCTGCCAAAAAATGGACGAAGAGGCTCTTCGTGTAGGTTTTTTTTTTGTGTTCTTATTTTTAATCGTAACAATTTGATTTGTGATTTTTTTTATCAAAACAATCTCTGATTTCATTACATTTTTTATAGATGGGTGCCGAGATATACGATCCTCGATTGTATATCCATTATGGGCCAAGAGATATGAGACTCTTAACCGATCAAGAAGCTCATCGCTCCCGTGCTATTTGGGATAACAATCCGGTAATTTTATGATTTATTTGCTTTATTTTATTATTTTCTAAGGTTTTATTTTGCTTTATTTAAACTAACAAATTGATGTTTTTCCTATTTTTTTGAAGGAATCACTTATTCCCGTCGTTCATAAAGGGACCACAAACTTAAAACAAGTTGCATGTGATCGTGGGAACGTATGGACGAGGAGAAAGTGTGGTTGGTCTCGGCTTTTTGATGAGAACGTCATACCCACCTCCAAATAGGCCGTCGGATTATACACTGGCGTCGGGACAAAGTCGGGGGCATCATTCTGACTGTGTAGAAATTGAGTTGGAACCTGTGTGTAGTATGGCGTGGGTGCCTCACGAAATGTCGCCTCGTCGTCGTTCTCATCAGTATCTTCCTCCTCGCTCACTGATCTCAAATCTTCCTCACTATCCTCATCGCTGGAGTCAAATGGATAGCTCGGCCCAGAAGGATCAACATGACTACCATCACCAACATCGTCTTCTCGCTCATGTAAAGTACGCCCTGCTCGAATGGTATTCTCGATTTCAGCCCACTCAGGCCCCCAAGCAGGCCATTGAACGACATCGGCAGGTTGATCCTGTTGCGAGTATTCTTCCGACGGCACCCATCCTGCACTACTACCTCCACCGTAGTTTATTGAACTACCACCCTCTCCATAACCTCCTGTATAACCACCTCCTTCGTAGTTGCTCGAACTACCACCCCATCTGTACCCTCCTGCAAAACCATCATCATAAGAATACTGGTGAGAATGAGTTTCACCGAACGCCTCGGTCTCAACATACACCTCTGCAAGCCGCATCCCATTATCGCTTAGGAACTCCAACATCATCGTAACCGCGTCATCATCATTTATGACAACTTCTTGGTACACAACCCCGCCAGCACTCATGTCTGGATACCGGTAACTAATTTTGCCAAGTCTCGTCTGTCCGCTCGTACAAACCCTGTCTGCACAAATATCACAGAGTTCTTGAAAATTGAATCGCGACTCAATTTTCAGCATAGTGGATTAACCGTTCTCATAATCAATCCATATGTCAGAGTTTGTCACCCTTCCATTCCACCGAATAATAAGCCGAAACTTCTTGAATTTACCCATATCTACAATTTACAATAAGTTAAACTATTAGTTTAAAGACAGTAAAATTAACCAAAACCATATTGTACGACTAGTATTACTCCATCTTATAACAAACGTAACATAAATTCAATTAACTAACAACAACATAAATTCAAAAATTAAGTACTACAATTGCTACGATAAGTAATTCATAATAAAATAACAATATAACTACTAAAAACATCATTACGCTATAATACGAAAATTAAATCATACTATAACTACTAAAAACCCATCATTAACCTATACTACGAAAAATAAATCATACCGAAAATTCCCTGCCTGTGTATTATGCTCGGTTTTGGTTGCTGAAATTTGAAGAGGGGGGGAGTGGTTTTGTTTTTATAATTGCTGGTGGGCTGGTATTTATAGGAAAATCTGCCTAATGTTCACCGTTTTTGTCAAACACGGTGAACACCATCACTGCGTTTGTCTCAAACGGTGAACATTAGGTAGCCCATACCTAATTTTCACCTGACAGGGGTTGAAAACGTGCCTAATACTCACCATTTTAACCTAGAACGGTGAAGGTATTCACCGTTTCCTACTAAAACTGTGATATCTTCACCGTTTTCATTTAAGGCGGTGATTGGTTCACCGTTTTAGAGAAAAACGGTGAATACTTCACCATTTTAATTTAAAGCGGTGAATCTTCACTGCGTTTGTCAAAAACGGTGAATACCAAACATGTGTAGTTTTGGGGGAAAAAAATTATAACTTATGTATTTTGGGAATTTTTTTTAAGAACATGTGTACTTTGGGATTTTTTACCTAGGATCATCAATTGTAAAATAAACAATACTTGATTGAGCATCAAGTGAACATGAGATAGTCACCTCCTTTACACTTCCACCAAGAATAAATGTATTTCCCTACCATATTTGCAAAGTCAAATCTCATCAGATTGAGTTGTTCAGCATAAGTGAATTGTAATGTACCCACAACTTGCTCATAAGAAAGGTCTCCTACCATGTCAATTGGTCCTAGGTTTAGTTCAACATTCCTATATTGAGTAGTGAAAAATAACAAATAAGGTTAGAATGGGGTTGAAGCATAAATGGAAT